CGGCAGGGCTTGAGGTGGGGCGGGATGCGGTGGGATGGCATCCCGGTTCTTTTCTAAATGGCTTAAAAGCATCCCGTTATTTCTTTGGCAGTAAATGCAATGTACAATACCTTTTTTTGGGAAAACCATCCTGGTTCTGTTTTCATTCTACCTCAAGCACTGAATACCGGTATAATACACTCCTTTTCAAACTTTAGTTAGACTTACTAAAGGAACATGAAAGTCCAATTTTTGGTGGGTATTTATTTTATGTAATTAAGTATTTACTGTGAATGAATCCTTATGCTTTACAACAAACATAAGAGTTGAAAAGATATATTGGGAGTAAAGAGTTAAAATTCCAAGTTTACTAAACATTTAACTACAAGAATCCCTTGCTTTGACTTACATGATAATTCTTACAATTCGTCTCTGGGTTATAAAAATAGATCTACTGTGTGGCGAATTACCCCAAAACATGATACCGTAATTTAACACTGAAGGAACATAGGAGAAGTAGATCTGTTTCAGGATTTTCAGTCATAATACAAGTCTAAGGGAATGAACCATGTAGCCAAACAAATTTAACTTTGAATGTATATAATCAATATGTTCTTTCCATGTTAATGGAGATTCTATGATAATACCTACAAATTTCAGGGAGTTAGTAGAGTTAATTTTATAAGTACTGAATTCAGTGGTATTCAAAGTCCGATGACTAGTGTTTGGAAAGAACTGCATTAAGTTAGTCTTATTACAATTTAATAGCATTCTATTTGAGTTAAACCATTTCTGTGCAATCTCCAGAACTACTTTAACATCTTGGTCCATCTTCACTGAATCAGAATTTGATATTATAAAGCTAGTATCATCTGCAGAAAGTATCAGTAAGGCTTTGCCTTTTACTACCTGAGGTAGATCATTTATATAAAATACAAATCAATAAGGGTTTGAGAATTAACCTTGGGGTATTCCATGTTTAACCAATTCCCAAGCTGAAACAATGACTTAATTGTTACTCTTTGATACCTATCACTTAAATAAGATTTAATTGATTCACAAAATCTACCTACTATGCCATAATACTCCAATTTAGTTATTAGGATGTCATGATTTACAGTATCAAAAGCTTTAGTTAGGTCACAGAAAATTCCAAAAACTGTTGATTTCTTATTAATTTGTGATAAAATTTCATTTATTAAGTTAAATATCGCCAATTCTGTTGAACTGTTGTTTTTGCATCCATATTGATCTGAGGCAATTATATTATTTCCTTCAGTGTGTTGAAGTAATCTATTATAAATAATTTTCTCAGAGATTTTAGAAGAAGATGTTAAAAGGGATATCGGTCTATAAGCAGATATTTCAACTTTATTACCTTTTTTTTTAAATAACGGAAAAACTTGAGAAAAATTTAAACGTGCCTGTAAATAACATCCTATTAGACATATAAATCAAAGGAGATGAGATAAATGACATACTCAATTTTACTATCCTACACGGTACTTCGTCATAGCCCAAGAGTTATTCCATTTCAAACTTTTGTTTATCTCACAAATTTATTTTTCAGTAACAGGCTTGAAATTTATTGGTAGAAAAGTTTGGTGAGATTCATGTGCTAGGTATTCCAAATAGGAAGGTTGATTAATTTGATTGTGGTCTTGTTTAATTATATTACTAACAGATTCATCCACAATTTTAGAGAAGTAATTATTAAAGGTATCTGCCAAATTTTGAGGATATTTAGTTACTTTCTCTTCAATGTTCAACATAAATTCATCCTTAGTATTAGATCGTTTTATTAGTTAAGGATTTGATAACATTCCAGGATGTTTTTGTTTTATTTGATGATTGAGATATTAATGTATTATAATACAATTTCTTTGCTAACTGAATAGTGCTGGTTAAAATTTTACAACATTTTTTATAATAGCATTTCAAGAGGGTGTTATTAGACATCCTATTAAGCAAATATAGGCCCTTTTGTGCCTACATGAAAATACTATACCTTTAGTAAGAAATCCTTTTGATGTATCTTTGACTAAGGATTTATGTAAAGGAATACTAGAATAAAATATTCTTAAGTATGTATTCAAGAAATTCTTAAATATTACATTTACATCACTGTCACATCCCGAATCAAATACATTTTCCCGGTTTTCATAACTTACGTTCAATTTAAATTCCCTTATGGAGGAATTGTCATAATATCTACCAATTCTAACCAATCCAGATTTAAGTTTATATGAGGGATTACAAAGTGTGAGCATTAGAGCATCATGGACAGATAATCCATTATAGTATGGTTCGATAATAAAATTTTTGTTCCTAATTCTGTCGAGAAAAATGTTATCAACTGATGATGCTGAGTAGGTGTTAATGCGAGTAGGAAAGTCTACAATGTAGTCTAAATTATATGGCCCTAAAATGGAGGTATTTTTATATTTCTGTGTTATTTGTCATGAAATTTACATTGAAGTCTCCACAGATAACCAAGTTAACCTGATTTTGAAGTAATATATATGTATATATTTCTTCTAGTTTCACAATAATGGTATCAAAATTTCCTGATGGGGATCTGTATACTGACAGACCGGTAAGACTAGAGGACTATGACTCAGTCTTACTGCACATACCTCAAAGACCTGTTCAATACAATGACTACCTAAGTCTATATTTATAAATTGATAAAGAGTCGTGAATAAATATACATACACTGTCACATTTAGCGTATTTCCTGTAGTAGAATGCATCCAAGTTATAATTATCAATAATTATGGTCTGAGTAATTTCCATTGATAAATGATGCTCCTACAGGCAAAGTCTATGAGTCACATCACTTACCCAATTAATAATTAATTCATCAATTTTATTACCTAAACCTCTAATATTTTGAGAAAAAATCTGGAGGTTGATACACTGCCTGGGTTTACTGATTTTGCTATTACCATAAAAGAACACCACTTCTTGTAAATGGAGCTTTCCTTAGACTTTTTGATTTAAATGGCATGTCAGCATTATTATCTTCAATGACTGTCCACAATTCAATGAATTAGAAGAAGTAACAGTGACAGCGAAGATCAGTTTTTGGTTCACCTACAGGATAGTGTACTACATATTTATCTTCAAAAGCTAGCATATCTGGTAGAATTTTCAATTCTTTCATAAGACAATCATTATCCACCTTCCTTGTTTCATGCACTAGACCACAGCCTAATACTACTTGTTCCTGTACCTCTTTCTATCCCTAACTAATTGGATGTATTTCTATTGTTGCAGATAATTTCCAAACTTCAGAGGCCAGTTGTTTAGAAACTAGGCCCTTACCTCTTCTATAAGGCACAACAGATCACTGTGGTCACGGTGCACGGGCCAAGAAGGCCCACCCCTTATACATTCATTCATACCTCTTCTATTAGGATGCATACCGTGTTTAGTGAAGTACTCCCAACTATAATTACACTCCATTAGTGACATAATTAAAAATATTAGCTACTTTCTTTACTTTATAATTAAATACCTAAATTGCTTTATTTACACATGATACTCAACCAAATCATGTCTATATGGAATACCAAGTATCATTATATTTGTATTACCATTGTTCTGTATAAAAATAATAATTTCCATTAAAGCCTCATTAGGATCATTCCTATATACATCATTAGCACCAGCACTGAACACAATTACATCATGTTTCTTCAAATTCATCAAGTCCACTGTTAGTTTGTCTCATATTTCCTCTGCTAATGCTCCTGGTTTGATCCAACCAGTTGTTCTAAACTTATTAAAATAATTATTTATTCTCTCAGTGCATCCTTTTAAATGACTGTCACTTCAAATTACTACCCTGGATTTATTTTTATTTGGTGTTTGCAACCAAAGGTTTCCAGTCAATGGAAAGTTATTCACTGAAACCCCATTTACTAATCTAGTGTTCCTTTTGATGGCACGGTTCACTGACAAATTAACTGCTTTAGAATAGATTTTTCTGTTAAGTATAATAGGAATGTGATGACCACAGTTTGCCTCCACATTAATAAGTTCAGTTTAACAATCTTCTCCTGTATGTCATGCAGGAATCCCAGTTCATTGGCTACTATTGCATTGTTTAAATTTACTATTGGATCTTGTAGGTTAATTAACTGAGAATAACGATTTGAGGTTAGGATAGGCTGATTAAATGGAGAACTGTTCCGTTTCTTAAAATAAATAATGTTGCTATTGTGAAGACTGAAGAATCTATGTTTATTTGTTTCAAACTATACCAAACCACGAAGAAACCAGTCTTCTGGGATGTGGCGCCATGTAGATAGTGTTAAAATCGATGTTCCTACAAAACATCGGTTAACACAATATCTACATGGCACCACATCCCAGAAGACTGCTTTCTTCATAGTCACCGCCATGAAAACCTTAAATCTTGCATATACCAAACCATGTTACGAAGAGAACATTTCTGATTGTGTGCACAGGTCTTCTTAGCTTCAGTGTGTTTCAATGGATAAATTCCAAGCAATGAATTATTCATGAGCTAATACAGACACTTCTATTAGGTGATCAGCTGGTTTGGGAAGTCAGGAAAAGATATCATGTAAACAAAGACTAGACTGAAGCATACTGCATTATGTTTCTAGGAAAAAATGACCCAGGTTGGCAGCTGCTTCTGTAAGTGAGAGAACTTCCTACTACAGAAGTTGTTTATTTATATACCTCACATTTCATTACTTCTGTAGCTCTTCCAGTAGTTTTTAATAGTAAAATATGCAACGCTTTAAGAAATGATAGCAGTACCTGCTGTGCTGTTAGGTTTTGAAAATTGGATTTTGTTGCACTGTAACATTTTTATATTAACATGTGGACATTTTCATAAATAGATACAGAAAACTGAAGAATTTAAGTCCATCTTCTTGCTAAATCCTAAGTTGCTAAAATCTGTTTATTTTTACCACACACAATCACACTTATTAAATGTTAAATAGTATAAGAATCATGAATATTCTGTCATGAAAATTACTGACCGAATTTCCAGCGCTGGTTGCCTTGTTTCACCATGTTCACTTTGTTAAACAGATTTTCTTGTAACTGATACACATTTTCTGATTCAGGAAAACAGCCTGCTATTCCTGAAATGACAATATCTTCCTGAGGTGTAGACTGCAGACTTGCATTATTTACGGTAGTCATTGCTGGTAGCACTTGTATATTTCACTGCAAGAATAATTGTGGTTACATTATGAAGACCGCTTAAACTTGAATATGTAATCTGTTCACACAAAAGATTGCAAAATTTCAAAATTTGTGGTAGGCCCACTTTAATAATATCAGTGATTTATGGACCATTATGAGGATTCTTGAGAAAAATAATGCCAGATGAAACTAAATTCTGCACTATTCATTCAAACAACACTTGTGTACACTATATGACTGTGTTTTACAGGTGTTTGCCAAATTGGACAGCTACCTTCAGTGCATATTTCAACTGATTTATGACACTGTTGATACCTTGCATTGTGGCAGAAGGTTACTGACAATTTGGAGGAATGTATTATGTACTTTCATTTTTAGAGCCAAAGAGTAAGCTGGTAAGTAGTTGGGCTGCACCACAGCTCAAGCAGTTAGTCACTGGCTTCCCACCACGATGGCCTGGGTTCAAATCCGAGGCTGGTCAAGTGGGATTTGTGGTGGACAAAATGGCGCTGGGATAGGTTTTCTCCGAGTACTTCAGTTTCCCCTGCCAATCTTCATTCCACCAAATTCTCCATCAGCATAATCACCTGGGGCAGGTACAATAGGCCAATCAGTGGGTCGCCGTGCCGAGTGGACCCAACTGGACCCTACCCCCACTATGCGAATTAAAAAGCCCAGCAAGTAAACTGCAAGTGGACATCTACCAGGCTACACACAATCTCAACACAGAAGCTAGTTATCCTTACAGTCCCTGTTGTGAGAACCTGAAATAGTGCATACAGAAATGCATACTGAAGATGACTTTTTGAGAAAAAATACATCTGACAATATAATGAGTCTTTAAGCATTTTACACTGGTAAAAGCTGAGAGTGAATGGAAGCAGCTGCAGATATGTTTGACAACAAGTTTTAAAGCCATCATCACCCCATCATGAAGAAAGGAACACACATTCTGATCAGGTTCATGAACCCTGCAAAATTACACTATCTAAAGGTACCACTGGCAAGTGACAACATGTACAAACCTGTTACAGTCCACTGTATAATAGTATGCAGTTTGTCATGAATGAGAAACCAGTGTTTTGTTTTAACATGTTGTTTGTGTAGTGTAAATGTGGATGTGGATATAAGATGTGTAGTTAGACTTCATCGCGAGGTGAAAAAGTTCATATAGATTTGCAAGGCATCCAGAAGATATTCATATACAACAGTTCAGTAATTCATGTGAGTAATCTGAAAACAACTGACCAGCCAAAAAGGACACTAGATATGGATTACTATAACATACCAGACTGCTTGAATTCAAATCTCAATGAAGTTCATGAAAACTTCAGAACAGATTCTACCCATAAGTGCCTTCTGTTATTTTCAATCTTGTCCATGAACAAAATAATACGATCGACTGGTATATAAGTAACCCTAATACTATCAGTCATTTCAACAGTACTATAAAATTAAAAGTTATATATGGCTCATGGACATGACTTCAAATTTCAGTGGGAAATGTTTTTGTAGATCTTTGTCATGTAAAAGATATACACTTTACTAAGTTTCAACCTATCCATTAAAGCTATTAAGAACAATTTCATAGACATGCTTAACAAGATTAGTTGGAGCTATTTGATGTTCTCATGAAGGTTTGTTTATGACGTTTACTGTCTTCGCTATGTGAAGCCTTGAAGTCTGGTGGCATATTAAAGAATTCTGGACCAAGTCTAAATCACTACAATATATGGTGAGGCTCACAACAACATTCATTATTATCACCAAATATGCTACCTCAAACTCGAATCAATTGTATAACCAAGAAAATTTTCAGACTAATTCAACTGCACAGTGTTAACAAAAGCATCAAGCACCATTTCAGAGACCTCTCATGTTTTCAGAAAAGTGTTATGCTCACATCAAAATTTTTAGCAATCTACCATCTAGTATCAAAATTCCTATGAATGAAAAGTCACAATTTAAAGTAGCACTAGTGAAATGTATAGATTCACATAACTGAATCTACCTGAAGAGTCTCAATACCTTTTATGAACCATCTGTCATTTTTTCTACATTCTTTTTCTTTTATTTTTATGCGAAAACTTGTTCTACTGTACAAATGTACTTGGTGATTTTATGACCAATTCTATACCTTACAGTCATTCTTAACTAACTTTACATCCATGGGATGTAACATATTTATGGAAGCATGTTAATGTTTGAAAGCAACCAAAAGCAACAGTGAGCACCATACCTGATCCAGCTGTATAACAGTACCTCTATAAGCTCTGATTATCTCTAATCGACAAATTATGGACTTGCAGAAGTGCTGGTGTGCCTTCCAAATATGCATGCAAAATTAAGAGACCCAGCAGTAGGGCTGTGTTTTTATTAGAGAAAATGTTCCCATGATTTCTATTGCAAAACTGACCTTTATGAATATATAAACCTACTGTAAGCATGACATGTGTAATGTAAATATGGAGGTGATTGTAAAGCTTCATAATAATTGATGACACATCAGTTATATAATGTGTCCTCAATGTCAGAAAAGATGGAAAAGTAGAAAAGGAATGTTTAATAATGGAAGGCAGAATATGTTTCCCTGAAAAGTCGGATAACTTTCTCCAGACTACACAGCAGTTCATTTCCGATGACAATTCTTAATTTATGATTTTGATTACCAGTCAGTTGTGCAACTAGCTACATAAAGAAAATACATACTGTGTACTACTACAACACAGCTGTAACATGACAGTAATTCTAGTTCCTATAGTGCAGTGGTTCTCAACTTCTATGAGACCGCGGCCCAGTAAGTTTTTTTTTATAAGATGAGGGCCCAGTCCCAACAAATTTACTCGTAAATACCTTTCCAGTTTTGTTAAAGTTCATGCATTAAACTAACGTAATATTAGTAGTTAATTGTAGCATAATCATAAAGAGTATTAGTACACTTATGTATATGGTGTGGCATGTTGACAAACATAAAATTACATTTAAATTAATTATCAATCACTGGACTAATGAAATCTTGGAGCATTTTGTAGTTTCCTCAGACCAACACCATTAAATTAATTTGTGCTAGTTTTCATTGAAATATCCCATGCTGATCACCAAAAACTTATGTTATTCAGCGTAAAATTTATTATTGTATTATTAAATTGAGTTTAATGATGTTGGTTTGAAAAAAATGATAGCGAGAAAAATATTTTTGCACTGTAACTCACCATAGAAGTTAGATGAGTAGGGGAAGAAGCAGAAGGATGTCAACTTGCTGGCGAAACTCTTATTATAACATACACATGCCAAATAATTGTATATGTAAAGTATGTAATTTGATAAATAAAAATGTATGAATCTCTCAATTCTAAACACTACTTCCAACACTAATTAATATTTTGATTTTAAAGACACAGCACTTTAACACAACAATTATAAGTTATTGGAAAGTTAAACTTAGTTTCTTTTATCACAACTGAGTTTGGAAGGCTTTAGTTAGGCTAGTGAGACTTCTGTTTCTGTTTTCCATCCATTAGCTTATTAATTCTGGTATGAACTGAAGTGAGAGCCAAACAGAGACAGTCAGAAAGTTGCAGGCAGTTCCTCTGTTTTGCTTTAAGCACAGCGATGGCAAAAAATGCAGTTTCATAAAGATATGTGGTGGAAAAACAAAGAAGAAACCTCACTGATATTTCTTGTAAATTTGGATATTCATTTTTCATTCTTATCCAGAATTTTGAATTACTCGTAGTATTAAAAGTACTTTCCAGTCCTTTGTCCGATGATAATTCAATAAGTTGAAGGGTTTCTTCATGGGAAAGGGCTGTCTCTCTGAGTTTAACAAAAGGGTTCACAATCCACATATTTTTCCTCCAGGGATCCTCATGTTCGGGATATTTTTTCAAACGACAACAACAACATTTTCAAGTGGGCTGCAATAATATCTGAAACTGAATTCTGTGAATATAAATCATCTGCTTCCATAATATAATCTGAGTATGACTGAAACATTTCATTGTTTCCTTCTGCAATCATATTAAGCCAGAGTTTGAGTTCCTTTTTGAATGATTCAATCTTGTTCCATGCATTAAATACTGTTGTAGCTGGACCTTGAAGTTTTAAATTCAGCTCGTTCATGTAAGAAAATATGTAGCTGAGATATGCCAGCCTTGCTACCCATTTCTTATCCTGGAAATAATGGGACAGGTTACTTTTCTTATCAATTAGAAAGAGCTTGACTTCCTTTCGGAGTTCATATAACCTCTTGAGAACTTTACCGCAGGACAACCAAAGAACTTCCGAATGGAAAAGAAGATTTTGATGATCAGAGCCCATTTCATCGCACAATGCTTTTAAAAGTCTTGTATTTAAAGCACTGTTTTTTATATAATTAATAATCTTAACAGATTAACAGGACTTCATTAAGCTCACGTGCCATTTTTTGGAGGCCAGGTTTTGCCTATGAATGTAGAAATGTGTTGACACTAAGTTATTGCCAGCCATATCCTTCATTTTAGTGACCAAACCTGAATTTCTACCTGTAAGACAGGCAGCACCGTCAGTGCAAACTCCAACGCAATTTTTCCATTTGAGGACTCTCTCTTCAATGAAACCATTTAAAACTTTGAAAATTTCACTGCTGGTAGTGTGCATAGGTAATTCAGAAACACTTAAAATGTCTTTCTTCATGTCACTCTCATCATGATCAATATATCGTACAAACGTAAGTAAAATGCTGCTGTTCTGAATATCAGTAGATTCGTCCAGTTGTAATGCAAACAATTTCGATTTTTTAATTTTTTCAATGACTTGCATTTCTGTATCTTCTGCCATATTAGATATCCGCCTACCAACTGTATCATTCGACAATGGGATGTCTTTCATTTTACCTGCTGCAGACTGGCCTAATACTTCAATACAAGCAGCAATCAAAGAAGGCTTAATGAGTTCTTCCCCAATGGAATATGGTTTTATACATTTAGCTATCCGTAGTGAGTGTCAGTGGTTGAAGCTTGGTAAATAATTTTCTTTTCTACTTTAAGTGCATCTCTTTTACCCATAAAGAATTCAATGGGTTTGTTGACTAGATCGGAATGTCTTGTGTTGAGATGTCAGGTAAGTCGCGATGGCTTCATAGCTTCATTTCCCAGAACAGTAGCACAAATGACACATTGAGGTCGTGGCAATTGGTCAGTGTTAGGGCATTGTATGAAACCAAATTTTAAGTAGCTGTCCATGTACTGACAAATGGATGCAGACTTTTTCTTCTGTGTGCTGGTGGTTTTCCCTTCATTTTGTACATCCTGGAGATCGCTATGTAGGCTTGAGGTTGATGAATCACTACTTGTTGCGTCACAAACACCTTCAATACGAGATTTCTTAACACCAAAATTAAACATAGTCCCCTGTCTCTTACTCATATTACAATTTAAATCACTCAGGTTTCAAAACAAGCACTTACACACTGCAATGCGAACTTACAAAGAAATAGTATTCAGTATTACTAGAACTGAGAACTGGATACAGACTGCCTTGATCTTCAATTTCAGTGGAAACATTTTCTTTATACTTCCTTGCTGATTGGTCACTGACATGTGCAACACAGATGTTATTTCGCTCAGTTCTGAGAACAAAGGATATGCCGCCCATTGTTGTAATTGGCTTGCAGGCAATTTTTATGACTGGTCATAAACATCGGTATTGCCTTTCCCGAATGTTGAAAGATTTGGATGTCTGAAAATTCACGATCATTCACGAATACTTCCATGTTTAAAAATATGCAGCTTGGTCACTGACATTTGCTACACAGATTTAGGTGTTCTGTGTCTGAGCTTCTCGACACAAATATTATTCTCCTTAGAATATTTCCACTATAAAATATTTCTTCATGAAAAATGCTTAGAAAATGAAAATGACAAATTCCAGAAGAGCCTCTCGCAGCCCAGTATAATTGATGCCAGGACCCACTACTGGGGCGCAGCTCAGCGGTTGAGAGCACTGCTACAGTGGCTGCAGCTCATTACCATGAATTACCCAGGGCTATAAGATGACATTTACCAATCTTTCTCTGAAAATAAGAGGATCATATGTCACATTATTGTGTGAAACTGGTATACAAAATTACTGAATTATAAAGAATACAATCTTGTGGGATTATATGACAACATGTAGTTGGGTATAAGTTTACTTGAAGGACTGCACCATGTATTTTTAATTTTAGGGTCACAAAACAAGCTGAGTAAGTAAGCAGCAAGTAATTTCTACCAATCTACACAGTGTCCCATTCCATAGTACCTGCCACGAGATTTTCAAATATGACAGATTAAAAATATATAAAAAAGATGGCTGTTGAAGGAATATTATATCTGAAATCAATATAAAGAATTCCGTATGTCTTTTCCCTTGGCTGACATTGGGACTGAAGAGAAGAAACTTCAGAAATGTATGGAGAAAGCAGTCTTCTGTGTAACCACACCACTGAAATCCTCCCCCTCCCCCCCTCTTTTTATTTCAGTAGCTGATAAGAGTAGACAATAAGAATTATGAAGAAACAGAGGTTTAAGACACACAGTCAGAAGAAGGAGTAGAATGAGGAGATAGACCAAACTTGCGCGGACAAGGACATCTGCTAGTCCTTGCGTCTAAGCATCTGGTGTTATTTTCCAGAAGGGCAGAAATGATACTTCAAGCAACCCCACTGAGCTTCTTTAGAAATTTAGAGTTTGACTTACAGCGGCAAGCCACTTTGAGAATTCGAGAAGTGACAGTTTCTACCAGCTGTAAGTCCAAGGTGGGAGTGCCAGGAGATCATTAGCAACCCCTCATAAGTTGCATCGCTGTCACTTTTGCCGTTTGGTCTTTTAAGGCGAGATTCCCTCTAAAACTATTGGTCATTGGCCGGAACCAAAATTAAGCCAACTCCTCTTATTTGAATAAGCCTATCAGGGAAATGACAAGGAGAGGAGAATAGGCGGATACAACGCAGTTAGGACCTCTGGCTCAGCCGAGAGTCCAGTTTAAGATTTTTAGTCATCTATCAACTTCTGAACTTGGCGAGGCAAACCCCGCATCTCACGCGTCAAACTAAAGTTCTAAGTACCACATTTTTCTCGTAACGACTCATGCCAGGATTTGGCGTAATCCATAAGCAGACGGGTGTAAGTTGAGCTTATCGTGTGCAATTTGTGCAAGTGCAACACCAGGTGCTTGAAAGCCGAAACTGGATCTGATTTTGTGACTTTCTACAGCCGAGTGTCTGTAAGAAGAGCAATAAAGTGTTGTAGGAATACAGTGACTTGTGTTGGTTAGAGGTGCTTCACCCTCACTCGTCCGAGCCTGACCCGTAGCCGACCTGAGGAGAGACTCATCGCGACTAGCTAGTCAAAACCATCGCCAGCTTTCACCCACTCACGCCTTCTCCCCTTTACAATGAATCGCAAACTGCCCCTAGCTGTTTGCTGGAGCCCATACCATCAGGTCCCATCCTGAAATTCAAACCCCCTGTAATCTCAACGGAAGAAGCGGTGGAGCCTGGTCAAGCCGGAACCAGCCACGGCGTAGCAACTTCAGCCGTGGCAGCACCAGGTAGGGCTGTTAAAAGTGACGTCAAACGTGTAGGCGAAAGTGACGGGCGGTTAAATCTGGGATATGGCGCCATGTAGATATAGTGTTAGCCGATGTTCGGAGTTACATATCACCTGCATCTTCAGGGTAGAAGGCAAGAAGAAATCTGCGAGCGAACCAGCGAGAGCAGGTGTAACGGACTGAGTCCAGTCGAGTAAACCCAGCTGGTGCTGGGGTGTACTGCCATGGAAAAAGGAGGAAA